GATCCAGATGAATGAAGAGGAAGTTATCGTTATCATATCAGTGCTTGCCTCAGTATGGTCAGTCTCACTCATGTGTCTTTTGTATACCTTTTTCATTCTTATCAGAAGAATTGTGTGTGTCATTCCTAGTATCACTATTAATATTACTGACTGTTTGTAATTCTTATCATTAATTCTACTTTTACGTTATTTGCCGTTTTCAACAATATTCAAATTCATAACTGACGTGATAATAAACAGAACTGTCTTAGTAATCCCTCATCACTTCCTTACTTTTCAAAATATTGAATTTTAACGTTCATTATTTATTATTTTTTTCGTTTTTCTTTATGCTTTATGCTGTTAAAAGCGCATATAAATGCTGAAAAGGCGATTGAGAGGAACGTCGCCATTAAATGGCTACTAGCTTATGATTAGCATTTCTATATAAACTTTTAGCTTTGGAAAATTGAATCAGTTTTCATAAAACATTTCATTAGTCTCATAACTAATAACAATTCTTTCTCCTAGAGGTTTCAATCAGTCTTGTGATAAACTGCATATAGTTTCCAAAATATCATATCACAATGGCTTTTTTAATTAAAAATTTCAGACTCTAAATTTTTGCAGAAATATTGGGAAAGATTTAAGTCCGTGAGCAAAGAAATGTGTGCTTAAAACAAAATTATTTCTGGTTCCTTTTTAACAAATTTGATGATTGCAGTATGAAGTCTGTTAAAATTTATTGTGATACTAAAATATCGCAATATTTGGTCTTCTTAATCATTAAACTAAATGCTCTTAATTATGATCTGTGTTGCTGGCATTTCTCAGGCCATAACAGTTAGAATTATAATTTATGACACAACATACTGTTCCTTGGACAATTGATGGTAGATAGTTTGATATGAGTTGGTTTCCTTTTGTTTTCATTTTCATTCCAATTTTCCTTTCTTCCCGGATGTACGCACGAAGTTCAGCTGATGTATAAAGAAGCATGAGCTTGAGGAGGGTCACTTAAGCAAGTCTGTCATACTCATTCATTTGGAACATTAGCAGTTACATTTGTTCTTGTGAGTTGGTCGTTACTTTTAAAAGAGCAGTGGGTTTCATGATATTTTCATTTCTTTATGAGGGTAAATTTATTTCGGTAATTTCATGACTTTAAATTTCATGCTCTCGGTTAATTGTAGTAGAGAATAATTCAGGATTCCAAAATGGTACCTAACTCAAAATGTATGGTCGCTCGTTTTACAGGGTCATATGACTCATTGACTATTATGACTTTTATCATATTGGCGTTGTTTTTATTATATTGAAAGCAAAACTTTACACACTTCCATGCCTGATTTGTTTTTCAAGCGTTACAGTTTTGGTATTTTAATGCATATCCCTATGTTTATGCGCATTTGTTGCCTTTCAAGAATTACTTTTTTATAGATGTGAAAATGAGTGGTTCTCTTAGTAAGCAAATAATTAGAAAAAATCCTCATTTAGACTGAAAGTTATGTTTTTTTAAGTTTTTAAGTGTTTCACAATATTGTTAATTTTCATTTGAGTAGTTTAATTGCATCTTTAGATTTGCTATAAGTGTAGTCAGTATTTCAGGTATGCATCAGTTTGATTATTATTCAAGTCGTCAAATACTGTCTTTTTTGACTATTGTCATTCTTCATCTTATTTTTATTGCTTCTATCTTTTTATTGACCAAAATTTGCATCAAAATTTGAAGGGAATAAGAAGCTGTATGTATACTCGATGATTGTAAGTTGTACTACTTTTATTGTTATACAGCTTTCTAATAACAGTGTTGAGAATTAACGAAGAACAGAAAACAAACGTATGACTTTGTTGGCTGGAAAAACAGATAATAGCTTACAAATGGAGATGTAATGAGAGAAAGTAACAAATACTGCTGAACCAGCGGAGGACGCAGATGTAAAAAGCTTCCCATCAGTTCCCGATTTCTTATATTCAATAAATCAGAACCAACTGCTAGCGAAACATTCAGAATTACCGATCCAAGCAAAACTTAGTGACTTCATTTTTTTTGTGTATCTCAAGAGATATAAACCAGTGAACAGGTGTATATTCCTCTTCTACCATTTCCCTGTCTTTTCTCCTCGCAACATTTTAACTACTATATACTTTCAATCCCGTGCAATCCTTATCATTTCTGCTTTATCCAGTAATAAGAGCAAGTTTTCAAAACAAGCAGTAATATTTTCAATTTCTCTCTTATTCCTTCCTTGCATTACACACAATACAAACATTATCATGCGGAACCAAATTTCTTGGTCATCTTCATTTCCCATTGAGCTGCCTAAAATGATAATAAAATTGGTATTTTGCATTTGCAACTGGTAGCGTAGATTTGTTGCAGTGAAAGAAAGAAACTAATTATAGAAACTGAAGCTCGATAGAATTTACGTGAGGACTGAAATTGAAACGCATATTCAACTTACTATAAAGTAAGATTCCTGCTTAACTATGTTTTTCAGGAAGTCTTTCTAAAATTTTCATATCTCCTGACAGTTCCCGTTTGAAGCAGTTTTCAGTTCTTCAATTTGTCACTTTTTTATACAGTCTTCAACAACTTTGTCATATTAATTGTTTGAATCTGGCAAAACTCTTACAGGAGTTGTAGATGTTGAAAAAAAATTCGCATAAAGAATCATCGAAGATAGGGAGTATGCCATGTATTTAAAATTTTATCAGACAACCGTGAATCAGTCTGATGATCTTATCTTTGAAAAGTAAATTTTATTCATATCTACCGACCATATAAATTCACTTTGTAATTGACGTCCGACAGGAAATGAACGGCACGAACCATTTCACTGTAAAACGAATACTTTGCCTGTTATATATACGTTTATGAATATTATTACGCATATTGTACAAAATTGTAAATTCAATATATGCCTCTACAGATATTATAACCAAGGATTTAAAATTTATTAGTAAATTTGAAGCAAAATAACTTCAATAGAGATTTGAGAAAAGCTTTCGTGACAACATCAGTCAATTCAAACTTGGGATCATCTTATTATGAAAAACAGTGATGTGTCGTGAGGCTGTGTGACATGTTAATGGCGTTAGAGGCATTTATTTGCTTAGTGACTGAGGTTGACTAAAGAAGATTGTCTTAGGAAATTTATGAGAACTGTAGTCTATCTTTTCTCACAGGCAAACTCAAATACAAAATCAAACAAACTGTGCTTGGCAATGTCCTCAGTGGCATGGTCTCAAACTTCAAGAATTACTTTCCACACAGTATTGTCAGAATGGGAACAGAATTAGCGTTGTTAGTTCAAATTAATGTAATACACTGAAAATATTACAAGAAATGAATCACCCATTCAAACATGGAACTTTTATCATCTCTAGTCATTTAGATACAAAAAACCCTTTATATATTTACGAAATCCCACATTAAGGTGAGATGATATGAAATTGTGATATTTTGCAAAAATTAGCAAGCAATCTCAATCCCACACCATGTTACCGTAACACTTTTTTATTCAAAGAAAGCAAATAAAAGTTGAGCATAGGCGCACACGACTCATCCCAGTCGTATGGAACAAGTTAAACACAGCCCATGTCGTCGTAAAACAATCATCTATTCTAGAGACTCCGTTAAATCACAAATCAAAACAACAGGTTTTAGTGGCAATCTCTTTGCTATCTTATATATAGCTACCTGAATAACTTTCACGATGAGCGACTAGTCTTCGCAGGTCTGAGTACATTCAACCATCACTCAGTACACACTAGCAAGCTGTTCTTCCTTGTTCATTCGCGTCGGTAATTTCTTAGCAATTTAATGAAATTAATTTACCCTTGCTACCTCGACTTTATTTTCGATATGAGCTTTAAAAAGGATAGCCTTCCGATCTAAAATGATACTCGTAAAATATGATTTTACTACATCTAAAAATTAGATAAAACCAAAAAATCCACATAATTAGAAAGGCACCACTTGAACCACATTTCCATCCTGTAACTTTCGTAAATTAAACTCCACCCAGCATCATTTTGTGTAATAAAGGAAATCAAATTCTTAATGACAATTTATGTGCACTGAATTCGTATTGCTTACACGTTTTGCTTTTAAATTAAATAATAGGATGTTGAGAAACAATACTAAATCACAGAAATTACCAGAGAACAAATTATAAACGCAAATCGGAATCGCGAATAGTTCTAACTCTGCAGGAGATGAGACATGGCTCTAAAGCACAACAAAATCTTAAAAACCACACAAATGCTTGAGTATAGACTAGGAAATTAGACAGTTATTATAATGAAAAATTTTCAACTCTTAGTACATTTTATCTCGTTTATGATGGACCAAACATAATACAACAGGTTTTATTTAGATAGTGAATAATTCCGTATTCCTAGCATAAGTTAAAATTCTAGCACATCCAAAAGTGAGTCGTGTTAAGTATTTCCCATTATTTTCATGCATTATTGAAATCAAATAGACCAGAAATTGTTCATCTCAGTCTAAGAGCAATTTTTACAGATTATACAAGTCTGTACACTTAAGAATAGCGAAATTACTGCCAAACATATATTTAGTATTTTTAATGTTTGAAAAATACTTCCGCAATGCTTCTTTCATTATAAATTTTCAAAAAAATTTCAAACCTCTATTTCGAAAAAAAGAAAAAATGTAGATTTGGGTTATTCTTAAACAGAAGGCAGATAACGTAGATAATACATGAAAGACAAATTATTATAGAAGTACATGGAATTTAAGTTAAAATAAAAAATTTAATGATAAATTTAATAAATCATTATTACAAATAATGTCAACAGTTGAAATTGATATCATCAGTGGCCCATTGCCATTGACAAGGAAAGATGTACATTTATGACTACATGGAGATCAGAAGTAAATATTTTCCAATATGAAAGGCCCTGAAAACTTCTGACATAATAAAGATCGAAAATGAAAAAATTCTATATCATGATATCCATAAAATTTAACTGAAATGGCATATTCATATCAAATTTATAATGTTTTCCCTCGAATCTGCTCTTCCTTTTCTTCACGCGCTTTTCTCAGAGCCAAGCGAACTAGTATCGTATCTACTTCACGCTGATCCGGTTTCCTGCTGTCTAGTCTCATCTGCAGCATTAGTAGTTAAATAATGGCAGATAGATTTTTTGATGAGGAATTGCATCATTGAAACGACACATATCATCCAAAAAACACGACACATATCATCCAAAAAATGGAAATAAATATCTAGTAAAAGCCATCCAATGAATTTATGAAACTTAAAGACTTATTGATACTCTAAGTTTCAATTGAATATATATTTGTACAAAGCTCTACTTCTATATAACTCAGCAATAAATGAGGTCTGTTTTACTTGAAAATTCCACACGGTACCTTTCCAGGTATTACTGTGATACAGTTTACATTACACCATACTTTAGTAATGCGTCATTTTCCACCCATAAGAATCAATAATTTATTTGTTTTGAATTTATACAAAAACTAAACTCAAACTGCAGGAAAACCACTAACAAGAATGGCCGTAAAAGTTGAATAAGCACATTTTAGAAAACCTAAGCAACACACCTCAGCAAATCTTTCTCCGAAAAGTTCCAAAACCTTTGTTCTATATTCTATGACTTGTTGAACTGGATTGCCCTTCAAAATGAGATGATCTAAACAGGGAAGAGTACATACTGGTCGAACATCATCAGCAGTGGCTATATTATTATCAGTTATATCTAAATACTCCAACGAATATAACTTCTGCAATCCTGCAAATACTACTTCAAAGCATTTGATGCAACAGAAAATAATGACGTAACTGTGCTTAATTTTCCTGACAAATTTAAGAATCTATACCTTTTAATGAACAGATTCTATTGCCAGCGAGATACAATCGTTTTACATTGCCCATTCTTGTATACCAGGAATCCAGACTCTTAATGGAATTATTTGAAAGATTGAGCTCATTTAACATTGTAAGATGTTGAAGATGATTTCCAATACCAGTAAGGAAATTATGAGACAAATTAATTTTCCTCACTGAACACAACAAACTCTGCAATTTCAACTAATAATTAGTGAGCATCACAGAAGTTTCCGTAAAGCAACAAAAAAAGATCACAAGCTTTACAGTAACTTTACAAAAGTTAGCAAATTCTAGTATTCACAAATCACACCATGAAAATACAATTTTGCATTAATTTGATCCCAAATCACGAAATTTCAACGCATTTACTCAAATCATTCATTCTGACTGACCTGACATCATTTCTCTACTTATATCTCATAAATTCAATAAAACATACGATACTTTCATCAACTTCTTCTATTTCATTAAATGAAAAATCAATTTCATCAACAGACTGCCATTTGCCCTGATTTTCAATTGGCAATATTTCACCAGGTTCTAAGAAGAAATCCTGAAAGCCTTTCAAATATTTACTAAAACCCTAAATATGAATTAATATTTAAAAAACTGAATGTCATGAAATTCCTCGAATAAAAGAACAAAAGTAATTTTCTTATTTTTGAATGAACATCTAGGCATAACACACGGAGATTTTTTTCATTGAATAATGGATGATGACTCGTCTACATGTTTTCCGCACAGAATACAGTTCATGAATCATACGTACATCGAAATTACTAACCTGGAACTTCTGCTAGTATTAGAAGTAAATGCTTCATTCACAAACTCATTAAAATTGATTAACACTGACTATTTAATCATTTAGTTTTTCAATTTACTACAACAATCAATCATTTAAAACGTTACCCAGAGTGCTTTGATTTTCTTGCATAAGCTAAGGCTGAAAGATAAGGTATTCCCTATAATATTTGACGACCCAATGCATCCACGACCACCACGAACTTTTAGATTCTGAACCTTGTGTAGGAATTCAACATAATTTGCAATATCCACTTTTCCATCCCCGGAAAAGTCAAAAATCTTATAACACGAATGTCTCTTCTAGGGTAAAAAATAAAATTTTCTATCCCTAGAAGAGGCTACTTAAATCTTTTAATTGAAAATCTTCTTTACCATGAATTGTTTTAACGAAAATTTTATCCAAGGAAAACACTGAAAGATTAAACCACCATCTGACTATTAGCCCTTTTACTAATTATAAAATCATTAGGTTGCAAAGACATGGACTTGCCGTTTGCTGTAGGTTCCGCCAATTTCATTCTTTCAGTAATGGCATAAAGTTCAATAGGAGTGAATTCAAAGTATTTTGGTTTCATCACTGCTAATGCCAACCAATCCTCACCATAACTTCCAAGTCTAAGAGAAAGATCTTCAACAATTGCATGGACTTCCTGAACAGTTTTTATAAACAATTCTTAGTTTCAAGAATGTCAATTGTAATGAGTATAAACTAGAGAAGCTCCATTTAAACGGATACCCTAGTTTCTTCATACACCTGTTTCTTTGAAACCTTCTACAATGTTTGTATACTTGAAATTAATAGATTTGAGCTCATGAAACAATCAAAGGAGTACCTGAAACATTTAAATGGAACTACATTTACCACAATAAATTGCTTTTAAAATTTCATTCATTCATGTTTTCTGTCGTTTGTCTTGAAAAATATCAAAAAAATTATCTTTACTGATGTCTTTAAGTCTGAAATCTCAATACTTAACACATCTATTTAACAAGTAACTTTAAATATTTCTTAAGTGACTCTCTGATATTTCTGATTCTTGATTAAAGTAAGCAATTTTTACTAAAAATACTCTACTTTTTTCAACAAATTTTGGAATTTAAAACGAAGTAAATTTGGCTGCAGTAAACATGAAAATGACATTAATTCTACATATACTGAAAAGATTCTACTAAATACATTTTATGTTACCACCATTTTATTTTCACCAATTCAGATGCTCACAACAACCTAAAAAGCAAAATTTTGCATATTTATTTTTGCAGTATCAACTTTAAGATACTCCGTACTACCTACACTTTGCCATACATATAACTGAGAGATCGATATTTTCTTTTTAGCAATAAAGCAATTCATTTTCAATATTTAAGCAATAAGGCACTGAACTACATGTCAAAAAAAGTTTGGTAAAAATATGAATGTACAATGCTGCCTTAACAAAATTTTAAATGTAAGTCATGATGCCGTACTCACTTTACCGCCTTTTATACTTGACTTTTCCAGCGTTTATCTCTAAATCTTCTGCAACTCATTCTATTAGATACAATGCTACAGTGACGTTGCTGCAGATTTCAAAATAAATGTTGGATAAATCAAATATATAAAAAGATTTTGCAGTGAGTGTCACAGAATGTTCTATGTTGAATGTAGCTGCCATCGACGATTAATCATTAGAAGCAACCTAAATAAAATTGCAAATAAAATATAAAATAATAAGCTAACATATTCTTGAAAATCAAGGAAGTGGGCAACTAAAGAAGAGAGGGCATGCTGCTTCCGTTTCCTCTGCAACCACAGATCAAGCTCAATGACCGTACGAATATACTTTTCAAGTTCGATTCTTCTCTCATCAAGAAATTCTGGGTCCTACAAAAACAGCATTCAAGCATTCTATTAGATACAATGTAGAAGATATTTCAATAATAAAATGGAATCATTGAAAAAACCCACATAATATATTAAAATAACTTATTGCTGATCGCAACAAATTGTAAAGAACAGAGCTTAATAAAACAAGAATAAAAATGCCTCACTAAATTCCCGATTAATTTTTTCGGTGGAAGAAAAGACTTCTTACGATCCTCAAATCGCTCTAGATCAAACGTAAAAAAGTCACTGTATCGTTTTTCTACAGTCCATATTATGGAATCGATTGCTATCTTGATAACATAAACCTAAAGGGCAATTTCATTTTTCAGACCTATTTGACATCATTTTAAAATTTCCATTTCATATACTAAACAGAACCTAACAGATTAGTATATGTAGTAAAATAGAAGCAACTTATGGTCACGTCAACGTTTCATACAGAGCATGCATGCACTGACAATATTTTATGCTCATTGATACTGCAACTATTTTATTTCCTGAATGAAAATAAATTTGGTACGAGCCATTTGATTGAACATTTCATCATTACCGCGTATTTTCCATCCTTGACTTTGTACTCTGGTATTGAAATCATAGAATTTCGTTCGAGACGCAGAGCTAAATTATCTAAGTCGATGAGAGCCATAGCTACAAACAATGCTCATAAAAGTCAGAAAAGATAATTAACCAAGAGCGAAAACTGTTAAACCGTAAATTTAATTTATAAATTATTGACAAGAATGATTTTACATTAAATTTGAAGTAAACTAGGACTTTGCTGTAGAAAATTTTTTATCTTGCTTTTAGAATAGTAAGAGTATTTTCTTTACTAAACTAAGTAAAGGAATTGTTAATATGTAAAAATCTTAGTGAAAAATTTAATACTGTGACTTTTTCGTACGTACGGAAATAAAATCTACACAAAATTAGTTCCAACCATAAGTTGACTATGACCAAATATTAATAATTTTAGTAAAAATACAAATAGCTTACTTTCGTCATGCGAATCCTGACTCTCATAAATCAAAACACCTAATCATGAAATAGCTAGTTAGTTGAAACTCTACATATAGAAAAAAACAAAAACTAATAATTTTTGCAGAAAATTTGACCTGACCTCAACTCTGGTCACAATAAGCTAGAAGTTAACAGTCTCTAAATGATAACAATTAAAGCGCTATATAAGAACCAAATATTTACTATAATTTGAGGTATTACTATGAAAATTAGTAATCCACCATTGCTTCGTATGAACAAAATATTGTATATAATGTAATACTAATATGGAATGTAACGTAGAAGTTGCCGATTTTTTCCTTACTTTTCGCGGTTTCAAAATGCTTTGAAAACAACCATGAGTTGATTAAGAACTTGATGTAAAAAGTGAAAAATATCGAGGTCCCTTCTATGCTTCAAAGTTTTGTAAAGATAATATTTCCTCACATCTTTATACATTAACATTCCTCATTAACATTTCATTTATATTTCTCTGTACTCTCTACTTCTACGTCATATTTGATTAATCTAAATTTATCATAAATTGGTGTATTATTTAGAAATGTAATACAACTCCTAAGACACCAAGCGGTACAAATCGGGAAATGGAGAATGGATGCATTCGAAACCGAGAAAAGACAAAACTATGATCTGTTGGCTAGTAAACTCAGTACAGAGATGGATCAGCTCCTTAAAAATGAGCGCTGAGGAAGCGCGACAAGAGTGCCAGGCAGTATTTACTATCACCACCAATAACGCAAATAGAAAATTAATCTTCGTTTCATTATATTACTTTACCTGGAAATTACAAAATTACAGACTTCCTCTGGATTAGTTCGTGATCAGCTATATCTCACCGGATAAGCACTATTTCAAGCTAAAATCATTTTATCAGTTATTTTGAGTATTCCGTAAATTCAAAAATTTATTAGAACTTCCTGCAAAGCATATATTCATTAATGTTAAGATCATTTTTAGAAATTAAATACCACGTTTTAGCTTGTAAATAATTTATCAACGTGAATTCAAATTTTTCACAGCAATAAACCGAAAGTTTATCTATGGTCTCATATCTAGTTTAACTATGATCCGGAGACTTGTAGTATCATCTTTCAACAGAAATGAAAATTTCTAACTTTCAATGAGCTTTAAGCTAAATAATCAAAAAAAAATTTTTTTTCATGTTAATATTCTTCATAATTGAGAAATGCAAATATGAAATAGCAGCAAGGAAAAGAGATAACTGAATAGATGCATTTTTAGGGATAATTAGGTGATGTGATGCTATGAAGGATAATTATTGATAAAAAATCTTTCATTTCTAATTAATGCTACTTAGAATGTAAAACGCCTAATATGCTAGTTCCCCGACCGTACAGTAAGTTTCATTATTTATGGATTAGTTGTTATCAGATAGTTCTATCGTTCTTTGTCGTAATTTCTGAGTAACATTATCTTTAATTGTAGTAATTTTGCAGTATGAAAATTAATCGATTTTGCATCTAATCAAGGAGCGAATTCTTGGCTGAACACGCATATTTAGTAAATAATGCTTGTCTCCGTAACATTTGTTCCACAAATAGTTTAGATCTAAAACTGAATGTATTTCAAGTCATTTTTTGCTTTCCTACACAGTAGTTAAGATGAAATTAGAAATAATATCAAAACATTTGTGAAACACAATATTTTCCACAATGCGGCTTTGCGCATTTCAGTTAAGTCTTATTTATATTATAATCGTCATTCATAGACTTTCAAAATCTTTTATTAATGTAATAGGGAAATTAAGTGAGTTCTTGGAAGCTAAATTATCTCTTGAATAGTTGGCCTGCATAGCGCTGGATGTTGAAGATTATGAAAAAAGTCATCTGCAAAATTATATTCCTTGCGATATTATTTCCTTGCGATATTATGAAAAAAGTCATCTGTAAAATTATATTTCCTTGCAATAATTATATTCCTTGCGATATTTTTCTACCAATGTCGATTTCCATCTCTTTTATCGCCTCAAATATCAGAAATTTTTCACTGAAGCAAAATGTGTATCCTTTTAATTATTTTTCTTAAGTCATTTTTCAATGCTGAAAGCTAATTTCTATGTTTTTAGTTGGATCTAGTTAAAATTTTGCAGATATGATGTGAGGACTGCACTCATCTCTTAAACTTGAAAGTAAGACCAAACTGATATGAATAGAATGAGTCATTACTATCATGTATATTCATTTTTACATGTGATAAGCATTTGAAGATATTTATTAGTAATTTAAATAAGGAACGGTTAGCATTCAGAAAATAACATACAATTCCACATAGCAAAATTATCCCCATAAATCAGAAAAGATAAGCGAGCGGAGAGCGTAGCATGAAATAAACATACAATCACATAAATTGTGCAAAGATGAATCTTATGATTGTTCAGAATGTGCTGAAATTAATTAGGAAAGAAAAAATTGAGTTTTTTAAACCGAAATGTAGAACTGAAACGAACATAATACAATAAGCAGTTCTCAAATAAAGAAGTAGTGGTCTTCAACTTGAACTCATAACACCTTCTTTCCAGTATTACCCAATCATAATTACATGTGAACAAATCTGATACCAAGACCGTCTTCTAACTATAGTCAGTAAAAGGAATAAGAATTAGGTCATTCAAACTTTATTCATAGCATTTCAAACTGCAAGTACACTTCCATCTATATTTGCTTATTGTATTGAAAGTTAGTAGTCTAACTGACAATTTTTTCTGCTGTTATCATGTAGATGAACGTTTCAGGAATAATCAATTTCAGAAACCAGAGTTAGGATGAGTCAGGATGCAATATATAAAGTGAAAGATTTTTGATTTAGTTATCAAGTTTTAGTGTTAATCGACGCTCAGCACATTTGGGATGTGAACATCATGGCAGTTTTCACTTTTCTTGGAATATTTCTATTCTGTGTTGTCATAATAAGAAAGTTTCGGGGACTTGTAACTTGCATTTTGGGACAGTCAGCCTGAGATAGCATTTCAAAGACTGTTGATGGATCATTATCATCCAGTCTTGTAGCCAGATGTACATGTACTGACTTCTCTGCCTCAGCTTCCTTTATTTTAATTTTCTGTAAAAGCAGTCAAGACGTTGTTGTGTTATTAGAATGCAAGGAAAATAATTTGAAAAAAGAACAATAAAAGAAATATGTTAATGGAGTGACGCGAAAATCTCGGTTATAAAATACATATATTACTGTTTTTAGCTACTGAAATCTATAATCTTCGACATATCTGTAGTTGCAATCGTGATAAAGTAGTGTGTGCTTGAAAAAACGTAAAGAACATTTTTTTGGATCGACCTAAGCAGTTTTTTTGAGAATATAGCGCTCTGTTCAAAGCTAAGAGTACTTCACGAAACATTAGGCGGCTGTTATCGATTTATTCAGCTTCTCAGAAATTTAAATCTATAGAAAGACAATTAAGTGTCAGAATAAAATTATAAATAAGTAAAATAACCTTTGTAAAGGACAAAGTTTGGTTAACCTTAAAATCGTTTAAAGACAGTTTCGAGTTTCGCCTTTGCCATGGTTTTGAAGAAGAAAGTTCCAGTGAAGTAAGGTTTGACAAGGAACTGGTGCTTCTGTGTAGTCCATATTTTAGATATCTTAATTCAAAAACATTTTGTTAGGTGTCATCAAAAAAGTTTAGTGGCTTTTATGAGAAAGTTAAAGTATTCGTTAGCTTTAGCACTAACAAAAATAATAGTATTTGATACTTTCCACTAAATAAACTAATCTTTACCAATCTTTAATAACCAAAAAACATTTACATAAGTTCAAGTTGCAAAAAGTTTTATTACTACTTTTTTAAATAATTTCTAATTCGAATCACAGTCTTAATTTATCTGAAGTAGTGCATCATTGTAAAAAACTTCTTGAGATAAGTATCACCTTCTATAAACATACAGCAGGAATGATGCAAACGAAATTGCAAGTACAATAGTAACCACAAGGCTCGACATGGCGGCTATTTCTATTTGACCTTGTTGCTGTGAAAAGTAAATATTTGGATCGTTGATTAATTCACATTGTCGACCACGGAATCCTGTCGGACAGCTGATGAAAAGGAAAAAGTGCTGTTATGACAATTGGAAAAACAATCACGACAGTTCAAAATTCCACAAATTCCACACATTTCAGTCAAAATTGTTTTGAGTCATTTTTTATTTCTTGAAACTTTTAGAATTTTCTTTTTTATTCATTCGACCCGATTAATCTAACATAAACACTGTATTCTTTTGAAAAATTGTTAATTAGTCTTACGAGCAAACCGGAACAGCCCGTTGTGATATGTCTGCTGTCATTTTACAAATGCCGCCGTTTCGGCAATAGCCCGAATAAGCTTCCGTGCATTCTTCAAGTTCAGCAAATCGATGCGATTGTGATGACTTCTTTTGCTCGTATCGAGAACGAGTTGAACAACCACCTAAGAAAGACTCGCAAACTTCAGTTTACAGTCATAAAAGGGCCAACTTTTACGAAATGATGCTGTGCTAAAAATTTCGATAACTATGATGGATCATATTCTAATTTGTATTGAATTTTTCTTAAATTTTGGAAAGGGTAAAAATTTATTTCCACTTTTCTTGGCAACTTTTCAAGATTTCATGAAATTAAATATGTTTGATTTTCCAATAAAGTGTATGAAACACCTGCTGCAATAATGCAGTGCTGTAGAACTCTATACAGAGGCGTATATATATATGATATTTGAACTATTTATGAAACATCTGGACTACCTTAAGTTGTTTTGAAAAAAGTCATACCTTACAGTTTATTTATTGCAATTTTTCGTTTGCGATACTCACAATAATTATGTTTATTTCCATTCAAAGCAAAAAAAATTCAAAATGATTTGAAATAACTGTCATGGGGAAAACAGAAAAAATGTTTGTTTTAACTTTAATTTTAGCTACTTCTCCCTGCTAAATAATTTTGCCAAACTTAAACTTAGTACTTAATGTACTGGAAACCTGAAAGAATACTGTTTTCTGAACAATTATCTAGAAATCAATGTTAAAAGAGATCTCAACTGAAGATTTTGCCATTCGATAGTACTACATAACTTCAAATATGCCTTCCTTGATTCACAAGCAAACTTTTTTGAAAGTTTTGATCTAGGCATAACATGAATTTGCTTAAATCATTCTCATTTGAGTAAATGATTTAACATATCAGAGAAAGACGTTGCATTCCAAAGAACGCATTTCATATAAGCTTACTTCAAATATCTTGGAATCTGTTTTAATTGAATAATTCCACTAAATCATGTGCATATATTCCTATTTTGTTCCAATGAAATAATAATTAAGTGAAAAACAGCCAAGATCATTGGTTTCTCAATTTTTTTAGTTTGCGTAAATGAACACGTGTCCATTAAATTCGATACATGATTTAAAATAAATCCTTCAACTGCATTTAGACTTTGTTCAAAAAAATTTGTCAAGTAATTCAAAATATATTTCGAAATATATGTAAGTAACTCTCCTAAAAAATTACATAGTTTCTTCTTAGAAAACTTTTTGAATTCATTTTAGATCGTGTGTCAAATTTGATGGACACGGAGTCATTTGCGCACGAAACAATTTTCTATACACATGTGATTCCATTATTTCTATTTGTTGAGCTCGAGTACATTAGCAAGCTCAATTATATTTGTTAAAATCAATCCGTCTAACATTGAGTTCGTTATTTAAAAATTTTGCAGCTTCAGTGAAAAGAGTTTCTGAAATTAATTCCAGAATTTCAAAAAATGTGGAAAAAAAAGGAAAAGAAGGCATGCGAAACGGAACAGGGACGAAGAGTTTTTCTTAGGTTTACTCCCACAAAAATTGTTTGATAACGGATTCGTTTGATTAAATGATTTCAGTGTAAATAGTAGCAAATAAAATATCTCATGACATCAATAAAGATGCGAATTATATATGCATGGCATAAATATGTTTGTTAGATAGATCAAATTATGCGCGACCTTGGAGGAAGGATAAATACACGCTCTTTTCACAAACTTATAGATTTGCACCCAAAATTGTGAAAAGTTTGGCAGAAAGAAATCAGAATTAAACAAAGTTTTGGTTTTTTTGAAGACATTCATATTTAATAATATTTGAGTATTATTTGGTTCAAAACTGATTAATGTTGAAATATAAAGTAATAATCATTTTGCAGTTCAAATTTTTATTTTTTATTTGTAAATAATAGATAGATCGGTAATTTTTATCCTAGCACATATCCGAAAAGTTTGCTTCTAGAAAATACTGCAACCAACTCTAATGGAAATCCTCAAGATGGTAACAAGAAAATGCTGTTGAGGTTTTCTATTTCATTATTAGGATTAGGTGGGCTAAAATAATCAATCGTAGAAATTGGCAAAACCAGCACAAAGAATTGAAGTCAATTTTTAACTGTCTAGCAAAAACTTATAAATGCGAATGAAAAAAACATACCCGCCAGCACCGCCAACCCCAAGAAGTGAAATAATAGGATTATTGGAGTAATTTTTAGTAAACTTGGGGCCAATGCGACAATATATGTAATATAACGTTTCGTGATATAAATTTTTGAATTATTATGCTGGTGTACGGATGTACGATAATACTGAGTGCACAGTTTCGACAGTTTGGCTGACGTTTGTGATACGTGTTGCAAAATGTTGATTTCCAAAAATTTTAACCCTTGCGTAATGAAATTCAACACGTTCCAATTATCGAGACGAAAGTGAAACCTAAAATTGCTATGACTAGTTTTCCAGAAAATATGAATATGTCTGACTTAAAGTTTAGTAAGCCGTACTATAATTGGAGTAACCAGAATATGGCTGCATTTATGAAGTTGTTGTCATTCAATACATTTGGTCGAGCAAAATGAATTTTGATAAACATGTACAAATATAAGAATGTAAAGGACAAATGTGAGGAGTATGATAGCTATATTATTCTACATAACTTGATGGAAAGTTATGCATTGTTTTCTTAATAAAATCTAAAAAATGCTCCAGTTATTAATAATGAAGCAAATGTTTTTGAGGAGAAATAAGTATGAATTGAATGATTGATAAGCAAATTGCAGTCGAGTTTATAAAAATTTTTAGCCGACTGCCTTGATCATGACCAGATGCATTTTGCAAGTACTCAAAGAAGAAGAAACAGCTTTCAAAATTTAATACAAGCATAGTTTTATATCGAAAATTCTAATTCTTATCAAAACCAATCCTTTTTCAAGTTGATAATCTTGTTCGCTCTACTGACTTGACAAACACCAACAATCGATACTATCCTGGTCGTACAAATATAGCTCAGAACTTTTCTGAAATTATTGCTTATTTTCCGAGTTGATGCTTCTAGTAATAGACCCATAATCTATTTTTGCGCTCAAAATCAATTTGAAATCAGTATTGTCACCGACATTTTGGATGACCAAAAAAGTTAATATTTTCAGTACTAAGATTACTCTCAAAAAAACATTTTCATTTCTACTAAAAGCATTTGGGTAAAAAAAAGCTGATCAAGAGAATATAAAGAAGCAATGCTGTGGCATATCGGGTTCCACAGCAGTTTTACTAATTACAATGTATCAGATGCACGTCTTGAGCTAAATTTTACTCTAAATTGGAAAAAAACGTAAACACCTGGTGTTTCTTTACAGCACCACACCAGTCAATACGTTCTTTATGTACCGAAAAAATGGAAATCGAATAGGAAGTGAGTTTCGTGAACTCACTTTGCTATTAACCATACTTCTCACAGAACTTTTGTAATTTGTGTATGTATAAGAACACATATATCAAATGCTAAGCTAAAATAAGTATGATATATTGATTGATAAGTATTTGTATTAGCAGGTGAAGCAGCAAATTAATAAAGAGAATAAAGAAAAATTTACTCAGTTACAATGATATATCAGTGTTGACAGTGTAGACGCATAATGCATACAGTATGGAGAAACGGTACGAGTTCCAGAAGTTGACATGTAACGATGACTGCATTGTGAGGGTGACAAAAAAGTAATGAGTTTTTTTGAACAGGTATGGACAAATAAGGGAGCACTGAAAATGGTGGAGGATAGCAATAAAGTGCTCAAAAAGTGATCAGTCTCGGTTCATAAACGATGAACAGCCTCGTTCTGGTCCGAAATAAGAGAAGAGAAATGGGGAAAAATATGTAGCATAAATGAGGGCCGCTTTTTGACGGTGTATACCACCCAAATAGTCCTAACCAACTGATTATTATGCAAAAATAAATTACTGATGTTTCAATAGAAATCAATGACCCCAAGAAATTACGAGACACAAAAATCTTCCAGTCAAAAGGAAGTTATTATGAGGAAGGATGTTTGCTCTTTTTTCAAATAAATTTAAATTACTGAATGAAGATCATTCCTGGTATAAAGTTAGAGGTGCATCTATTGAAAACTAATAAATTGGAGAGCGAAAATTTGCTCTAAACAGTTTTTTGTTCTTTGTAAGCTGTACTGATATTTTGTCAAATTTGCCTTCCTAATTTTGCTCATAGAAAAATATGTCCTTACTTGAAGAGATAAACTTCATTTGTCAGCAGTATTGCACCGAAGAGTGAAATACAATTAACGGTCAAAAAATCTCTCGAATGACAATCTGTTAATCAGTCAAGCAAAATTCATTTAAATATAATCTTGCTTGGTTTCCTAATTATTACAACATTTTTTATTTAACTTCACAAACAGATGAGGCAGAATATTATCGGAAGAAAGATGAATGTCAGAAAAATTAAACATTTTGGCTAACAATTTATGGAAATTAAAATAGCTGCAACCTTGAAACGGTGAAGTTACAATTCTTCAAAGTTCCAAACGAAATGACAAGTTACCAGAAAGAACAAAAGAAAGATTCAAAAGTTGATGATTAATAATTGAATAATGGAGCCATGTTATGATGTTTGGATTCCACAATAACCTTCTGTCTGCAAATGAATGTCAAGGAATGTGAGCTATCTTCCGAAATGCCAATAAATAAATGTTTAGGCGTGTAGTACTTTACATAAAAAGGTATTAGGATTGCGCCTAGCAATAATCCATCACATTGCTGCAAATCGCAATAATAAACTTACAATAACAACATTTATCACTACCGCTCGCGACTAGCAATCCTATTAGCTCCTGAAATACAACTACGCAAACAGTGACTGCTTTGACTTAATCATTTAGTTTACCGCTTAATTTATCAGTTTTCACTACCTATGTTTAAATTTATCGCTGACAAATGACAAATGTCAAATGATGTATCATCAAAATTGCGATGTTTTGCAAAAAGATAACAAAAGTACGACAAGGACAAACAAATGGAGCAGTGCTAAAAGACAACAGAAAGAAACGTTTAAATGTTGTAAGAATATTTATTGGTTGTTCTTATAGATTTCATACAGGAAGGCTCGTAATTTCAAGACACTCGTAACCATAAATGAAACAAATATTGAAAATCATGCACCTTGGTCCTTTGGTTTACCTACTGAGTTAATTATTTACACGACCTCTGTTTCGCAGTTTTGAAAATTGATAGCTTTTATAACGATTGAAAATTATTTTAAATTCACAAAGGTTACGAAAGCCTATAAAGCCAGTTTGTTTTCCTTTCAGAAAATCACATACTGTGCCATTTTCAGACATCTTAGTAAATTTGTTATAACTTGCTAACACTTTTTTCGCAGATGGATAAAAGGCAGTTGAAAATCAAAAAATGAAAGATAAGTGACATATTTAGGACCATTTATAATTACCAAACTCTGGTCAACTCTTTATACCAAAAATAGCTTGCTTTTTCCTCAGTACAGAATCTGCCAATTTTTTCATAACGGACAGTTTGAATAAAATTATTGAAGTGTGAAAAGTAAATCCATTTCTTGAATTTTAAAGCAGTTAAAATTTTTAAGCCAAGAAATGAAAACGGTTCAAATTTGGGATATATGAAGACACTCATTTTCAAAAAAATTTAAATTATCAAGTTTAGAGTTTCATTCATCCTATTTTACTATTTGTAAATTTGTATAAAAAGTTAAATAGTGAAATATCAAGAATTTCTAAAAAAAAACTGCTATTAGATTTCAAGTTTGAATCATTTAACTAAACTAATATACCTGTAGAAAGCAGTGATGATTGTCGAGCTGTGGTGTTTTCTGTGAACTTGACCAAGGTTATCGCTGTTACTGTTGCATCGGTTAAAGTTGATGGCTTTTCTAGGTACTGATTAGCACGATTATAACTTCTCCTATCCATTGTTACGTAGCCAAATCTAAAACGATTCTTAATGACGAAACAAAACGAACAATCGTTGCTGACTTGCGAAATTCGTTGATCGCTTGGTATTAACTTTTAGATCCTCACATTAGCATGCCATTTTTGATGACAAATTTGGTTACTAACTACAGATTTTGGCATTTACTATTTGCTTATTCTTACTGCATGGAATCATCGCGTGTTAAGAAAAATTCAGGTTTGAAGCGTTCAATTCGGTATAAAACTGACAATATGATAACAGTGTATTACTTTCGCAATGAACTCTCAAAATCTCGCAAAGTAAGTTTAGAAAACAAGATTGCTACGATGAAATCTGATAAGTGGCAGTTATATGCTATCCATTTATCAGTAACAAATTACACTACACGATGCTTTTCTAATCAACTTTAACGTACTGCTTAAAAATGGATGGATGAATTAGTATCATTTGTAACTTATCGCATGCAAATCTATTAAATGAATTTGCTGGATAAATACGCCAGTTCTTGACCAGTCATTGATCTGATCCCTACCTTCTGTTTCACCAATACATTACTGGTACCTATATTTAATTTTTCGCTGGCCTTTTAATGAAGAAATCATTTTGATTTTCGCGAACAGCATAAAGCATTTTCAATTGTGTTTTAGAGAGTTCTTTTTTAGATAAAAGTTTCACCATTAAAAAAATTTCGGTCTTTTTTTGGCTGCTTTTCTCAGTATTTCAGCTGATTAATTCTCAAAACAATTTATCAAATAAGGTTATGTAATAAATGTAAATGATATATTTTCTAAGTGATTCAGTCAAAAACGACTTTTCAACAAAACAAAATCCTCGACATGTTTTGTTTGATATAAGTGAAGCACGTTTTGTGAAAATCTTGATTTTATGTTTTTAGACCAAGATTATTATTATTAGATTATTATTACTGTACTGAACTGTACTGAAAGCATGATGTTATTATGCTGAAAACATGTATTTAGTATGATTTAATCAGTCATTGGAAAACATGACTTTGTGTTCAATATGCGTACTTGGTTGCAAAATTCACCCAGTTCACTGGTACCTTTAGAACTTCTCGTGTCAAATTTAGAAAATCACAATAGAAGCTATATCCAAAACAATGAAAACTTGACACTTCATTGAAAAGCTATAATTTAATCTTATTTGCAGTTCTAATATACTTTTCGAAAGGCTGTCAAAAAGTTGACCATTTTCTTGATAAAGTTTCGTTTATTTCTTGCAAGTATGTTTTTTTTGTGACTTTTGTTTCGTGAAAACAACACAAAAAAATTTGGTGTAAAAACTTCAAACGCAGAAGAGTTGGTACAGTTATAAGCATGATTATTATTTCATTCAGCTTTTTAAAATTTTTTTTGCAAAACAGTCTGACTGATTTGAAATTTTAAGCTCCTTTAAATTACTTTTTATGTAAAAACTTTCATATTTTATCATTCTTAAAAAATTGCTTAAGCCTGAATTGCATGAAATACTATCTTAAAAGGACTTCAATTTTCGGGTTTTTATTCTTATATAGCATTTTCAATCAAATAACCGCTGTTGCAAAAAGAAAATGAAATTTCAATAACATGTTGTCACCGTAATGTTTTAAAAAATATGATGCATGAACTAGGAAGGTACCATTAACCAACCCCCTTTTTTCCACTCTCAGTCTTATCGTATTTTCGTTTTAATAATCTATGACTCGGAAATAATTTCATCTTTTGATATTTGACTTACTGCTACAATTTTTTTATCAGCTATTCAGTTGCAGATGCATAACTACTATGCACTTACGTTTACTGAACTTGGGTGTCTACAAATTGTCTTTATTTTCAAAATATGTTGATTCATTTTAAGGTAATGCATTTTTTAATTCATAACTGAACACAAAAAATAAAGCAAGCAATCACACATATCTAATATATTTAAATATGCAAAATTATTCATGTTTCGCTAATAAGAGTGAAATATACAAAGAAACAAACGAAGTTCTATTCAACTAAGAAAGATTTAGTAATTTAACTGAAATTCTGCAGTAACTTGTAAATAAATCACCAGTCTTCTTATTTTAAAATTTTCTGACCCTTCTTTCTCAAACTGTCGCTTTTTCCAAGGACTCTCCAACGAAGAGATCCGGAAATACTCTAGAATTATAGTTATCAAAGGACGAGCCAACTCCACCTTGATAAGATTGACAAGGAATCGTTTGAGGCTGACAGTTCCATGTACGTTGTAGGTCTAGCTGCACATAACTTGGTTGTGACTGCTGGTATTGGCCCTGCTGTTGCGGATAGTATGATGACTGCTGGTATTGACCCTGCTGTTGAGGATAATAAGATGAACCTGACTGCTGGGGATAAGACGATTTCTGAGATGAACCATAAGACGTGCAAGACTGCATGCTCTGTCCTGAAGACTGAGATTGTTGCGAGTTTGCTTGGTTCGGCGTAGGAATCTGTGAAAGCGACGGAAGTGGCATGCAAATCGTTGCCTGCGGCACTTGAACTACTTGCTGATTTTGTTGCGGTGTTTGTGGCTGCTGCTGTAGCTGTTGCTGTAGCTGTTGCTGTAGCTGTTGCTGTTGCTGTTGCGTTGGTGCTTGCATTCTGAGCAGCCTGCCTCTCCCAATGAATTCATTTAGCGAAGAGTCTGAAATATTGGCTTGAAAAGTAATTATTTGTACTTAATTTCTGAAAATTTCTACTCTGAGAAAAAAAACTGCTAGATCCCATTTTAATATAGATGCCAGCACTTATCGTACCGATAATGACATACTTTTCCCCATGCTTACATAATTTAAAAATCTCACTTACTGACGTAAACTTAAGATGTCTGGTTTTTAACTTTTGTGGACTTATTCATTAAAAACATTGGGTAACAATTTTTCTAGTTAAGAAAAAATATCTGAAGAAATACCGAGTCTACAATGTGCTACTGCAAAGAATAGTATCAAAGTAATTAGCTTCATTGTATTCATTGCTGCTCGCATTTTATGCTGAATAGATTTATTTCAATTAATTGCTTCCTTCGTCCAGTTACCTCAAATTTATATTTAATCTGTAGGCGGAATAATGAATATTTGTAAAATGTTTGCGCTACAAAATTGCCTGTTAGTTCCATTTTCAATTAAAGGAAACGTATAAATCCAAACAATCATTAGCCATTCATACTTTACAAACTGATCAGTGAAATGGAACTATCTTTAAGAGACACAATTCATTACGCCAATCTTTTATTTTCAATTTTCCGGAAACAAGCTAGAATACTCATACTATTTAAAATGGTGCTTCTACTAAACTTAATACATTCTTAGTAGTCAAATTCGTTAACTTGACTGTATTTTAAATTAAGAAACTCAGCAATGGCATTCTTCACAGGGCTACTTTATAAAATGCAACAATTCTTGTTTTCGATGTTAAACATAAGTTCGCAGTACCGATATGGCACAGATACTTGAAGACTTATACTATTATCCTGTGAAACATTGCAAACAGTTAAAACTAGCTCTGTAAAAATAAAATGGAATAAAAATAAAAGCAAATAAAAGACAAACAAATTGCAAAAAATCCTTGTAAGAGGAAATTGTGCTGAACTGCTATGCATTTCCTCAGGAAAATGGAAAATTCTTGTCCTTTTATTCCAAAATGAAAACAATGAAATTAAGGTTGTCTGAAGACTGCTCCACCTTCAGTCTCTCTAAAGCGTTAAAGAGCAAACAATAAATATGAAAGCATTTATTTAATGAAATGGGAAATTTTTTCACAAAAAAAGTCGATTTTTAATGCAAGCTAGTGAACCATACCATATTTGAGAACCAATGATCAGCATTTTAAGTGACAAAATTTCTGGAGAAGATATCATACAGCATTTTCCTGAATAATAAAGGAATGTCAGGGTGCTAGCTAATAATGAATTTGAATGAAATGATCGTGTTCAATTACATAACATATTGTGTAACATAAACGAATAATATGTTTCGCGAGACTCTACAGAATCAAATTTGTATATAGATAAAGGTTACATGCCTGTTTACAGAAATTTCCGGTCATTCAAGCAAATGAAAGACACCATCTACTCCTCAGTTATCAAGTATTACCGGCTCAGAACCAACTCCGTATTGCTTACTTTCTAAGAAATTTTTTTTTGAAATTTATAGATCATCAAGAGCAATTCACTCCAGACTATCCAAAGTTGACCTAGCTTCTTAATCTTGCTTACTGGAAAAAGAATAATTTTATCTGAATCAAAAACTGTTTCTCCCACCTCCTTGTCAAATTATGAACCTCACGAGTTAATCCCACCGACCAAATATCGTACACACAAAACTGCACCAACCCTTATAGTAATACCAATATCGTAAACGACTTCTCCTGCCCCAGTAATCCTAGTTAATCGACAACTTTAATTCTTTTTATTCCTCATAGAAGTTTTCATCTTTCAGAGTGCAGGCATATCTATACACTCTAACCTGACTGTACTCTATGAAAAATGTTTACAAAGCAAATACGACAATATGACTTTATGCCAGCGATAAAAAGCTTAACATTTACTGTGGATATACTGTTCCAAATATTTACTGCAAAAATAAGAACATTACAAACAACACTACAAAAATATAAAGCAACAGGACAATGAGTTAGTTCAGGAATGTATGTGATTTAGGATTAGGCATGAAGGTGCACAGAACAACACGCAGAGGAAAGTGCGTGAAATAAACTCAAACTTCTGAGATAATGTCTAAGGCATAAATAGGCATGTTTATAACTTAATGAGATATCTGAAGTATGTGCACTTTCACTATTGTAAAAATAACCTACAAATCACCCAAAACGAGATTAAATCAAAGTAAATAAAAAGACGCGCACTGAAAAAAAAATGAAGGGATCATATAAACGATACTAGCACTTATACTTCTATTATTAGACTTTATATAAAGATGTTGAATGTTGATTGTTGCTAATTAATCACTTTGCTTTACTGAATTCCGAACTTTTAAGTAGCCAACACAATAAGACACGATGGCGAATTAAAAATGCATACCAGTAATACATACAAACAACTCTTCAACTCAACTTGAATCAATAACGATCATAAACTATAATAATAGTATACCTGTTTTTATCGGTTATTATCATTTGAATTTTAAGTGAATAACCAAATGGCAAATCATAAATATCATTTTTCACATTAAACAATCGAATTCTTTCGTGTTAAAATAAAAAGCATAAAAAAGAAACATTGCGAACAATTCAGAGAGAAACAAATAGAAACCAGGCATCATTTCGTAACATTTTCGAAGTTGTTATAAGGCATCTAAACAATTAAATAAATCTTCAGTTTTACAATTCCTCCTCTAAGAAACCTTAAGACTTCACTCTTTTAGTGACAAACCACGCTTCACATCGTCTGTGATGTCAGAGCCTGTAAGTTAGAAAAATTAACGGTATAGTTTAGATTTTAATCCCTTCCTAAACAGTAAAAGCAAATTAAAAACTCTGATGCATTAAACTGTACTATCATGCTAGTACTTTTTGTCACTTTACATACCAACTTTCAGCAGTATTAAACAAAACTGAATTTCTGACTACTTCAGCAAAGGTTTTAAAAAACTGATGACATGCTCGTCCTTCAATCTCCTAACCTATTTTATATAAAGACAGCATCATAAAAAATGTAGAAAATGAATCCACTAACCAAAATGTGAAGTGACAAAAAGTATCAGATTGGACAAGTTCAAAAAAGCCAACTTAAAAGTCAAAGACAGGATGAGAGCACTGTTCAATTACCAGAACAACAAGATTGAAGATACAAAAACTATGAAAGTTTATAAACAATACCTTCAGTCCCTACACTATCTAAATCATCATGTGGACTGTTATTACGTAGATGAACACGCCGACCAGCCAGTAATGCATCACGAACTGGCCGTCGCTGCCCACGTAAGTTAGTGTTATCACGAACAAGAGTATCATTTGCCGCATTCAAATCGTCGATCACTCGTTGTAAATTACGTGCTTTTGTTTGTTCCCGTATTAATTCTTCTTCCATTTCATCAAGCCGCCTCCGTACTTGTCTTACTCGTGTCTTTTCTCGTTCAGCCTACACAAAAAAAAAATTAATTCTCTGAATACGCAAGAGTGAGATAATACATGTAGCCAAATTCTAAGATGTTTTGATACCTGTTCCTTATACTGTTCTGTATTACGACGTTCATCTTCTAACTGTAATATGGTATCAGCCAAACGTTTTTCAATCCGCCGATACTGAAATGAATGTCCAATCTCTACAGAGTCATATTAAAATACATTACACGATGCATGACAAATGAATTTCTAAATTAAAGTAGCGAAACTGTAAATTGTGACTGAAAGGATTTCTTAATTTGCTTTGTATTTTCTGTTCTTTATTGAAATTATTTCATTACATCAATGACTATAATGAATACAACTATTAAATTCTATGAAAAAATAGTACCTACATTTGTTAACATTTTTACAATTTTTCTGAATGCGCTGTAACTTCAATTGGTTTCAATGAAACCAGATTAAGATTTTAAACCACTAATTTAACTTGTTTTCAAAATCTGACTGTAATCAAAAAGTCCAATAAATACACTGTTTCCTAATGCAACATTGTGCAGCTTCATTACTTTTTAAATTACATTCATGATAAATAAAGTATACTCACTTGGCGAGTTGCATTAGCGCGTTCTTGGCTTTCGGCGTTATACTGCTCGTCTAAATACTGTATTTTTGCTTCCAGAGCAGCTATCTGAGCTCTAGAACGATTATGAGCACAAGTTTCCAGTTCTGATACCTTATTTTTAAGTTCTCGATTTACCCGCTCCATTGCTTGCTTTTCAGTTTCCAATTTCTGCGTAGTGGAACGTTCCACAGATAATTCTGTAGTTAGTTGTTCAACCTAGCAAAAGGAATTTTAGAGAATCTAATCCGAAATGTTGTGCGTTTCTAATAATGATCGTGATTATTAAAGTAAAAATAAAAACACACTTCAACTACCAACTTCTCTTCAAAAAAAATAACAAACCATCAACAACTCAATGAATTATTTAGATAGCACATGCAATAGATGTAACAGGAAACAAATTATGAACTTGAGTTGCTTCTTGATGACTTTTACAGTTGATTCCGCAAATTTTTTGGTTTTATACAATTACGATATAAAGGTTACCTGCATTTGTGCTTTACGTTGTTTATCAAGTGCTAATTCGGCAAGACTCTGTTCTTCTTCAACTTCTTCTTCTAATGCTGCAACTTTTGCTTCAAGTCTTCGACGTTCATCGGCATTCACACCACCACCCCGACTTTGAGCATCTTCCAATTCATCTTTTTCTGCTTCCAACTGTCGTTTTTGATTCATTAAACTTTCGTTCACTTCTAATAATCGGGCATTTTCTGTATCAACTGTTCGTAACCTGAACACAATTTTTTGACGTAAGTATGATTTCCAAAGAATTTATAAGTATCTCAAAGATACAACATTAACCTTCAAATAATTACTGGACTATTAAACATATAAATTTTTACATATCTGCCACATCTAACATATTTGCCCTAGTGGAAATGAAGCAACAATCTAAACAAAATAAATCAGATAATTCCAATCAAGAAAATAAATGCTAACTTTCGTTCCATTTCACGCATAGAATTTGCAAGTTCTTCTTTCGATAACCGAATCTCGTCATTGTCATGTTGAATATCTTTGATAATTTGCTGATATTTCTTCAATTGTCGACTGCAGTCATCTTTCGCTCTGTTCGCAAATTCTAGCTGCTGCTCCATCTCGATTAACTGTGACTCAATTTTCTTCTTGTTAGCAATGGCACCAGACTGAAACTCATGATGATATTGAAGATATTTCTACGAACACTTCTTACTACAATTTCTTGCAAAATTTTTAAAACGAATCTTACGCGAGTGCGACGCTCATTTTCCAGCTCACTTTCTAGATCACGAATTTGTTTCAATAATGAACGACGCTTTTCTTCACTTTCTTGTTCTTTTACTGCCAAAATTCTTTCTTGCTCACTTTTCAGGGCCTAAAAAATTAAATATCAAACGTCAAAAAAAACAAAAAAAAACCCGAGATATTATAATTGTTAGCAATTAATGCGCTACCAACTCGCAAAAAAAAAACTATATTTAACATTCTTCAAGAAAAAACTCTTTAAGACCTGAAGATTGACATCTAATCGAAGCCGAGCATCTTCCGCGATTTGAACGGCATCTTCAAGTTCTTCCACTTGAGCTCGTTGCTCTTGCAGTTCTGCTTCAAGTTGACGCTTAGCTTTTTCCAACTCGTGCACGCTTTTTCCTACATCATCTTTTGAAGATACCTGACAGAATAACTGATTCAGTCCCACATAACAGATCTCTCAACACAAAGATTTATGAAATTGTGAACTATTGCGTCTTTTTAAAATTTTTTTGGTGAATTTTTAAATGAAGAAATATACCGATTCATCAAGCTCCATTTGAAGCATACGTTTTACACGTTCTGATTCTTCAAGTTGAGAACGTAAACCATCGAGATCATTATTAAGTGATAAAATGCGTGTTTCACGATCGCGAGACTCCTGAGCAAGCGCATCACGTTCATTCATAACCTAAAAATACATTTTTAACTGATCGAGTTTTATATTTAATAGTCTGAAAACTTTTGAATGTTCGAGATATTTCCATTAGCTTCAGTATTTTTTGGATCACCTTACTTTAGTAGCAACCGTCACAATATAACTCAATTGAAAAACTTGGTAATTTGAAATTAAGAGCCCCTTCATACCTTCTGAAGATTAGCTTTTTCTTCCGCTAATTGTTGATCAAATCTACGCTGTTTTTTTTCTAAATCGCGCGAATATGTCCGGATGTTATTAAGTTCGATGTTCGCATCTTCGACCTCAAATTAATATTGAAAATGCAAACGAAGAAACAAAATAACAAAATTAATACTGCCAGCATATGAAACAGTGCAAATACACCTCCTGCTGCAATTTCCGCTTAGATCGTTCTGCCCGATCACGTGCTACTCCAATTTCGGCCAATTTTTTTTGTGTTATTTCCAGATCACGTTGCGCTTTTTTTTTCATTTCTTCTATTTGCTGCAAAACTCCTTCCTCTGCTTTTTTTTTCGCATCTACCAACGCCAACCGCATATTATCAAGTTGCTACAAAAACTGTTAATCATTTATAAGAAAAGCATAATGAAAATAGAGAAATAGAAATTATGCATATAAAATGATTTCAACTTAAGTATTTACTCCTTGTAATTCCTTTCGCTTAAGTTCCCCTTCTTCACGTAAATCCAATGATTCCATCAGATCATCTTCCAACTGCCGTACTCTTGTTTGCATTGCAAGCTTATTTCTAGTTTCTTCCTGTAGCTGGTCCTGTGCCTCGGCTAGCTGCTGTTCAAGTAGCACTATTTTTCGGTGTAAAGCTGAGATATTCTGTTCATCCTCTTCTATCTGCTTTGACACGGAATCCAATTCATTATGGGCTTTCCCAAGATGCTGAGTAAGCGCTGATTTTGCTGAGTCCAGCTCTTCAATTCTAGCATACAGTTCAATACAAGCTGTTTCTGCTTGCTTGCGTTTCTTGTCGGCTTCACATTTCGCTGCTTGTGTCGCATTCAATTCCATCACTATAGAGGCCTTTTCAATATCCAGTGCATTTTTAGTTTTTTCAACTTGAGAACGCATTCGTTTTTGCTGTTCGACCTGAAAAACAATAAGCGAAAAATCTCTGGAAATACTGTATTATCTTTGGAGTACTGTACACGTTCATTAGAAAAACTACCGACCACTAGATGAAAGCGACGATCTCAATTTGCCTACAACAGCAGAGAGAAAAAATTTTTCTTAACAGAGACTGGTTACCGACCTGTTCACTCAACTCTTCGATTTGCTTTTGATACTTTTGCTTCAGTTCTTCGAATTTAGCATCGTTTACTGCATTCGTAGTTTCAAGAGCATGCTGCAATTTTAAATTTTTAAAATATTTTCATCCTTAACAGTGAATTTTATAACTAATTAAGATTAGGAGTGCATGCTTTAATCACGTAATAATGAAATTAACAGCTTTCGATTACTTTGTTATACTAGTTCTGCCATAAACAAAGCATTTTCTACGATTTCTACCAAAAATGGAAAGAAAAAGCCTAATTCTAAAATACTTTTAGTTCTTTCAACTCTTCATCTTTTTTCTTTTGTATCTCGAGAGATATAGCCGTTTTATCCGCTGCTTCAAGGTATTCTGTTCTCAGTGTTTCTAGATCATCATTTAAATCCCGACGACTTTTCTCCGCCTTTTCGCGTAAAGATTTCTCATTATCAAGATCTTCTTTTAATTCTTCCAAAGCGGATTCCAACTCGCGAATCTGCTTTTGCAAAATTATGTTATTGGCGCTGTCCTCGTCGGATCTAAATAATTAAAAACTGAGAATGTAGGAAATATTTTTTGTCATTGGTATGACTGATCAGAAAAAATTCTTGAAAAAATTATTTTAGAAGCAGAAACTACTTTGTTAGGAGCGCTGTAAGTTCCTCTTCACGTTTGGTAAGTAATGAATTCAACTCTTCTAATTTACTTCGCTTTTCCTCGAGCAATTCTTTCTGTTCGTCTATTTCTACCTCAAGTTTTCGCTTGAGGCGCTCAACTTCTGCTCTCACCTATAAATTTTCCTTGATATTTCAAACAAATTAAAATGTTTTTATGGTTAGCATGTAAACCTATTTGTAAAAGAAAGCAACTTTTCATACGAACCAGTTAACTCAATATGCTCTCACTTACAAATTTCTCTTGATATTTTGGATACAAGACAACTCACACATCCTGCACCTGAGATTAATAAATCGATGGTTCAGTTTACCTGTTTTTCTTTCTTTAATTCTTGCTCTTGCTCTTGTAATTGCATTTCAATGCGAGAACGCTGTTTCCCAACGTGCTTAGCTTTCTCTTCTTCTTCTAGCAAATTATTAGATAACTGAACCGCTCTTTCTTCCATATTTTTCTTCTCTTTCAGTAACTAAGAAAAAGTAAATACAACATAAGGTGATCACGTGCAAAAACATATAGTGGGAAAACTTGATATTATATTGCAGTAAGATTATTTTTTACGACCATGAGAACCAATAATAGCTAATTAAAGCAAACCTACTCAAGAAACTCCCGGTATATCTCACTGAATCGCTTAGGCTACCTTGTCATTAATGATGTCAGCACAAAAATAAATCAAAATGCTTTTATGGTTAACATGTCCATTTAGTTACAAAAGAAAGCCACCTTTTCATACGAATCAGTTAACTCAGCATGCTTTTCTTCTAATTTCTTCCATTTCTGATCAACATTCACTTTATCAAGCATAAGTTTCTGACGAGCTTGTTCTTCTTCTTCCAACTGTTCTTCCAAATCACGGACAGTTTCCTTCAAAAATTGTGACATGAAATTTTTTACTCAATGCAATTACCTGGTGTGAAACAAAGCTAACTTGTAATTTTTTTTTCTCTTCCGTTAATTTCTCAACGTGTTCTTCGCCCTCATCTAATTTAGAGTTCAACTCTGTTAACATATCTTCCAGTTCTGCTTTCTTTGACGACAACCGCTCACGCACCTCCTCTACTTCTGCTCGTTCTTCACTTTCCTGAAACAGTAATGATCCTAACAAATTGGTCTGACAGCCAAATTAACGACATAGAGTTACGGAAACAAAAAAAAGAAAGTAAAGGATTTTGCAATTTTTGGGTAAGTTCAGATTTCTACAAAACTTGATTAGATTTAAAACGTGCCTGTTGCAGCTGTTCCTGGAGAACATTTCTTTCCTCGTTGAGTTGCTTGAGATGTTTCTCAATTTCAGCATATTCTACTTCTTTTTTATTTAACTTATCTCTTACTATTTTCAATTCCTCATCTTTTAGTGCAATAGCAGCTTCTTGATTTGTAACTTGCAACAGTGGCTTAACCTGGGATATACGAAACTTATATCAAGTTATAAAAAACAGATTTGTTCCCAAGCTAAGACTCAAATACTATGAAATGGTATGACAATTTTGTATTTCTGTATCATAAATTTGAACCAATGTACTTTTACAAAATTTCATGAATAAAAAATGAAAGAAACCAGCTCTAACTTTAGTAAACAACCGCCACCATTGCCAGTTTCGCAATTTTAACCATGCTAAACCATTTCTTTGTAGCACACGTATTGCATTGGACTGCTGCATTCGTTTTTGATATAGACGTCTAGCAAGGAAAGCACGACACTGTGCTTGAAAAGACACTATCAATCCAGTAAGTTTCAGATCACGTTCTTCCTCTAAATGAGCCAAAACACCAGCTCGGAAGAATATTTTCGACTGACCAATACGATATAAATTATTTTCCAGTTCTAAAGCATCGATCATTTTTCTGTAAAAATGTGATCTTTAGAGAAGTAATATATTGAAACTACAGAATTTTTTATGATGATTCTTATTCCTTCTAAATCCACACCCTGCAAAAGCTAACAAAAGTTACCAGGTAACAATGTCAAGAAGTAACCCACAATATATTAACGCTAATTATCTATAGTTTTAAAAGTGGAAAAATGATCAGAAACCAGAATGATTTATCAAATTAGTAAAACTTTTATGACCTAATTTATCTTGCACATAGCCATCCGGAAATAAATTATCCTCCGGCAAAGGATTTGATGAGTTAATGCGTAAAATCCTAAAACTTTTAGTTTCAAAACTAAAATTATATCAATTTAGACACACTGTGCAATAATAATTCAAATGATTAAAATTAAAACTGTGATACCTAACAGCTTCCTTTCCATCCATGAAACCTTTTGGTATAACGTTTGGTGTGAGAATTTCATATCGATGCCTGAACTCCTGAAAGGGCACGCGATTTGGGAAACCCTGTCGACATATACGTATTCCTTCCAAAACACCATTGCAGCGCAACTGCTCCAAAACTAATAAAGATGATATTTTTCCAGCCTTAAAATAAATGAAAATACAAAAATGTCTTTCAAAAAAAAGTTAAAATCAAGAAAACATATAACTTATGAATTCCAACTATTCTGAATTCCTAAGAGAATGATTACTGTGACTTATAAATTATTAAAATTGGAGATTAAATCTGACGTTGATGAAAATCTAAAACTTTTAATAGTAAATTTCACTGCTTGAAGAAAGTAGTTACGAACTAAGAAACTGCTAACCTTTTTTTCATGATTCGGAATAATACATCGAACGAAATGAGGATTCGTATTACGTAAGGTGGTCATTAAACGGGTTAGCTGTTCTTTATGCATTTGGCTTACCGTACGGAACATTCCTTTTTTTGTTCGCACACCAAAGGCTGTCTCACTATATTCTGATGCGCAAATACCAGCAAATTCAGCTAAAAAAAACCAAGAAAAATGACAGTTTCAGTGATGACTTTATAAGCATGTTCTTCTTACCAAATACAACAGTAGCCTTACCATCTTTCCATATGTTTACAACGAATGCATCTGAAGAATTTTGGAATAACGCTACTACATTTTCATTGAGCGGGTCCATATTTTTCATAAGCCATTGATCAGCTAAGTAATCCACACGACCAGCATAGTGAATTACCGCAAAGTCAGACTTCGCACGCATTTCAGGGATGACAAATTTTGGATGTTTCGCGTGATTCACAAACAATTTCTCTACTAACGATTTGTCCGTTGCTTTAGGGAATAAGCATTGTTCATCCAGAAGTGCCAGAATGCCCATAGGCTAAATAACTTTAAAATTAATTTGAATAATGAAATGCAATGTCATCATTATCACTGATTTTATATGTCTGAATGTGATATAAATGAAGCAAATTTTAAATACAATACCAATTTTTATAGGTATAGAAACTACTTTTCAGAAATGAAAGCTCATTTCTCAAAAACTATGATGCAAATACTTTTTCAATAAGATCTATAGTAGGCTGCAGATCAAGGCCAAAGTCGATGAATTTCCAATCGATGCCTTCTCTTTGATATTCCTCTTGTTCCAAAATAAACATCGTATTGTTAAACAGCTGCTGCAGTTTTTCATTCGTATAATTAATGCATAGCTGTTCAAATGAATTGAGCTCGAAAATTTCAAACCTGAAAATTACTGACGAAGTGCAATGGAGTTTAAATTAAATTTTATATTAAATATAACGTCTTTTGGGATTTAGTAAGCAATAGAATAAAATAATAATAGTCAGTTCATAAATAAAGTACCAAATCATCAGAACGAACCCAGCAATATCCAATATACCTATGAATGAAGCACCTTGCCGACGAGTTCGGTCTAAAGATTTGTTCAAACGATTGACTAGCCACCGAAACATTTTTTCATAACATGCCTACAAATGTAATTCTCAATGTCAATTTAATTCACAGAGCAATCATGATATTTGCAATTATAAAAATTAAGCAATTTAAAAATATAGTTCCGGAATTTTCATCTGACGTCAATACAGAACAGACCTTGCTTATGGCTTCTACAGCAAACTCTGCTTGCTCTTTATTTTGTGCTTTATGTACATATTCTCGACCAACTTTTATTCGCGGACGCAAATAAGCTTTAGTGAAATCGACCAAAGGCAAACCCAAGAGATGACATAGTTTTTGGGCAACTAAAAAGTAAGCACAATAAAAGGTCTAATACTCATAATGCTATAAAAAGTGCAAAGTACAATATCACTTACCTCGATCATCTGAAAGAACGGCTTGATCGGATTTCTTTTCCTGAAAAAACTCCATATTTCCAAAAAGCAAAACGGCAGATACTAATCGCAGTACAGCTGAAATAAGTCTCATTACAGCATGCTCACAAAATAAATTAGTCATGAACATGAAGTCAGTCAAACACAGTTGTAAAAACAGTGAATCTTAAGATTTGTCTTACAAGTAATTTCCTCTTCTTGAAAACCCATAATTTTCATAGATCGAACGGTGTTGTGAAACTCGTTGGCATCATCAACATTAGGTAAATTTATGTATCCATTATTAAGAAAACGATATTTTTCCACGTCCTCCAGAAGAAAATTTCCTAAATTGTTTTCATTTAACTACAAATATTTCATGAAAAAATTCTTCGACATTTCTTAGCTATGCTATCGCAAAAATCCCTAAAACAAACAACATTCAATAAACTTTTGATTTAGTCAAATTTTTAAGATGAAAGTAATCGGTGAACTCAAACACATAAATACCCTTCTCATCAGCGGTTGTACCGCGTAAGAACTGATAGAAAATGTGGAACGACCGTTCGTCAGCTGCTTGACGTAATGTACGCGATTTTTCAAGTAAGTAAAACTCAATGTTTGCGCCAGAAATATATCCCGACATATCAAAATTTATTCTGATAAATTTACCCTTAAAAAATAATATCTAGTAACAAACATCAAAAGTTTACTTCGAGATTTATGTTTTAGTAGGTGCAAAAAATGAAATAGCTCATCGATTCATGTGAATGAATAGTTTTTGCTGGGCAAAAAAGTTTTGTCAGAAGATAAAAGATAACTGGTAAAACAATATAGATTTAATGGGAAAAACTATTTCAAATTTTTCAGAAGGTTAATATGAAAATTAATACCATTCAAAAAGTTCATAATGGTAATAACTGATAAATATACGACGAACAAGAATTTTGCTCCAAATATGAATGCAAAAACTGTCTACAAAAATAAAGTCAAATAAAACCATACGAATCTCGATGAATTGTCATTCTTTACTGTTTTACTGTTACCGAAAGCTTCAAGAATTGGATTAGCTTGAAGCAATTGGTGTTCCAGCTCACCCTAAAATTTAATTTTTGTAGAATATGAATTAGTCCTTGACTGAATTAAGCCTATCACTTGAAGCTAGGAAAGTTATATGTAATAAGCGTTCAATAGTTAAAGAACTGCGGCTACAAGAAAAATAATGGTTAGATTTATATGGATCCATTTACAAATTTCCAAAACAAGCCTTGTAAATAACAATCTTAATCATGCGAACAGAAAATTACGTAATTGTAGGTGTACATAACCGAAATTATGTAAAAATTATATCTTAATGAGACGAAAAGCAAAAAAACTAAAACATGCATATGTGTTAATAATAAAGAAGAACAATTAAATGACAGGTTAGAATATTTTGATTACATTAAAAAAAAAAACAAATATGTAGAATCTACAAGTTAAATGATTAAAATATAGAAGCATAATGGTCTGGATAAACTTACGATAACATTTTCGAAATGTAATTTGTGCTGAAAAAGAAACAATATATTACACAAACTATTGTAGCAACAAAAAAAAAAGAATTCGTAAGGGTCGGAAACCTTTTAACACAATGTAGGAAAAAAAAAATCATTATGTTAAAAATAATTCGGCCCGAATTCAAATCTAATACATTTACAGTATACCAATAGTCAAACATACTTATCAGTAAATATCGCCACCATGATGTCAAGAATCAGAATCCTTTTTCCCCACTGTTCTAAGCTGTTAAATTACCAAATATTTTTCGATGCCAGTCACATATCATTAAAGTAAAGAGGATGATGTTACCATCAGATTCTGTAATGGAGACGTCATCCTCTTCACTTGACTGAATACGAAAAAATTTGGTCCCAAAGTGATGCATTTTCATAATTAACTACAAAACAACATACTTTTGTTGGAGTACTGTTTTTGCTTTGCCGTGTCGCCCCAGCCACATAAGCTAAATATTGTATAACTTTCTTAGTATTTTCAGTTTTTCCAGCACCAGATTCACCACTGAAAAACGTGGATAAATCTGATCTCTAGAACAAGCACCAACAAAAAGAGTAACTTGATTTTGCAAGTCAGTTTCTTAATTTGAATGAGAAAAACTCACGTGCAAAGAATGGATTGATCTTCCCGTTCTGAAAAAAATAGAATTACATTTGAGAAACTCAACTCATCACATTGATAATCTCCATCTTCATAAAACTAGAAGTGACAAGACAAAACTGAATATAGAGGATATTGAAACACAGAGCTAAAAAAACTGTAGTAAAACTGGCATTATAAAAAATTGTTCTTATTAAAAAGTACAATGATCAAGCGTTTAACAGATTTCGAATTTTTACAAAGCCTAAACGAAAATATACAAGCACGTTCACACCACGATAAGCAACTAATATTTCAGTTACTTGATACCAAATTTCATATAACTCCACTAAACATGACAGACTGTTGATGGATTATTTATAATATATGACGAGTCTATTAAGACTCATTTTCAGAAATTGATAAGGATATGTAACCTTGGAGCATTGAGCGGTAAGCTGTGTCTGCAATTGCAAATATATGAGGTGGCATCTCATGGCGTTTTTTCCCTTTGAATGCTTCGATTAATGTTTCAGAATAAATTGGCAGTTTTTTGTATGGATTCACCACCACACAAAACAATCCAGAATATGTCTGAAGAAGAATAATACAATGATAACAATTATTCAAAAACACAAAATTACAAATGCCCTAAACACAAATCCAGAATTTTGCACGTAGTAAGTTTTCTACTGACTTGACAGTACAGAGAATCAAAATATTCAGGAATTGTAAGAGTCAGAACTAGTCTCATTATGAATAGCGAATACTAGTAGTATAAATGCTAATAGAAATTGATACGAAACTAAAATTCACATAAATAAGTGATGAGAAATATCGTTCACGAAGATTGTGCAAGACAGAAGCTTCATTGAGACAGGTTAAATCTGCCATATCTTCCACTTTGTCAAATTTCGGAGGATTCATTTTTTGCAAGTCATCTTTGCTCAGAGTAAGTCGCTATAATATTACCACAATATGAATTAATTGTAAACAACAGTCATTAGAGACTTAAACATATTTTTCAAGTTTGTCCACCAGTATAGGAATAAAATAAAAGTATTAATAACAACACTATCTGCATAACTATGTATGCACACTCTGTAATATGAGAATAATCCTTTTCACAGTTATAGATAGGTTGCAATCAAGCTCTTGATCTCATACATGAAACATCTTAGATGGTAGTAACAGTAAGCTTCAAAGTTGAAAAATTTATATACTGCATTTAAATAATCCAACTTATGGTTGTACTATAATTAGCACTAAAAATTTCATTAGCAATAATTATCATCTACTGAATAACCTTCCCGCTATCAGCAAGCTCAACGACGGCATCATCTCCACGATCTTCCTTAATGCTTCCAGCAACGAAACCTTCTGTTTCATTGGGAACCCATACTAGTCTTTTTTTTGACCATTCTGCTTGAAGTGCTGGATCAGCCACAATACCCTTTTGCACCTAAATAAAGAAGCATCATTTATCTTAACCTAAACGTAAAGCTCAAGTCTTGAGTTAGTTTTTCAATCTGCATTTAGGACAGATTCTAATAAAATGCATAATGGAAGCTAACAAAGCACAGATGGAAAAAATGACATATCCACAACATGCTTTTTTGATATACTACTTTTTTCAGTTTATTAATGCTTTACATGCTGAAGCCTATTAGATTCCGTAGCTTGAAAAAAAATCAACAATTTTGGAACACAACACAAATTTTAAAGTACTCCTATAAAAACCTGTAAATAAGAAATTTCTGAAGTTGCACTAGTCATTGGACCATTCGTTCTTGAACTTTAGTTCGATCGAATGGTTCTCTCCTGGAAACTAGAAATTTAAATGACATAAAATGTAATCTAAAAATGCGCACGTAAAAATTCTCCTCCTCTACATTCCTCCATATCTTTCCATTTAAGTTCAAATTCGACAAATAAATCATATTTCGAACGTTGGTTAGGGAAACATGAATGACACAAAAAATATCTTCGATTTTTTAAGCAATGTCACAAGTGCACCTATTATCTTTACCCAGTATAACAAAAGAGAATAATTTGAAATTTGTTTAATAAGGGATGAATTGAAACTTATGTTCATGAATAAAATGAAAACCAATTGACCTATAAATATTACATTCCAGAGCCGTGCAAAATAAATATAAAAAAGATGGAGATTTAATAGTTTTTGCAGGACTAATAATGATGAAGCATCTAATATATATGTAGCCAGCATAAATAAATATTGGGCATCATGTAGCAGGCTGCTATATGCTACCAAAAAAATGAAATTCTTGAATTCCAATAGGAGCTTCAGAAATGCGACATCCTTTTGAATGAAACTATATTACATCTCATCTTATACAGTGGTGTACAATGCAAAAATATTAACCCCTATAATATATCAAGCTTGCAAATATAAATTCAGGAATTTGCCAAATCAGTATAAGTACATTACTCCATCCTAAGAGTAACACAGCTTTTCCCAACATAATGAACTGAAACAGGAATATATCCATGGGATTGATAACAGTCCTTCATGATAGTACTTAGTCAGTAGAAGGGCAGTTCTCATCTAGTTGTTCCAAGAAGCTAAGGAAAACAATGATCTTGAGAACATCTACTAAGTAAAATACGTACTCCGAAATAAAAACTAAAAAGATCTGTCACCTAATATACACTACGCAACTGCATGTTCCCGTTGAAGTTGGATGAACTGGCCGTGATGAAGCATTTATCTCAGTAAATAATCGTACAAATAATTAAATATTTTGTAGGAACCTATTCTTTAAACCGCAATAAGTAATAGAACCACTAAAGTGATGGATTTCGCAATTTTTTGCTGTGCTTGCAGTAAAAAACAAATACTTTCAGAACTGACGCCTAATTCCTGAAAATACCTGTAGCAAAAATTTATATTTAAAATGTGAAGCTTTTGAAGGATTTTTGCTGCTTTCGAACATACTGAAACTGATAAAGATGGCAATTATTTATTGGAGACATCGGTAATTCACTCCCATTAAACACTGAATGTCCACCATAAACAGGGAGACAGTAGTACTGAAATAAACTCGGAAAATCGAAGGAAAACCGATGAGAAATATATAATATAAGTTTCCATCTCTTCCGGCGAAGCTCTTCGAAACTAAATTTTGCACTGCTCCTCTATCTCTTCTGAGTTTGGACATCATATTTTACAAACAAATCAATTCATCGAAAGGCAAATCGTCGTATGGATAAAAAACATAAAGGGAGAAGAGATGGAAAAGGTACAAGTTTCTATTTTGGTAGTGCAGGAAAGAGGAATAGATAATGAATAGTCTAGCAAAGTGAGTGATTTTTTGGATAGGCACAAAGATAGATGGTCGGAAATATGACTAAAAATATAAATATCTGGCTGACCACTTTATGATTAAATACTCAATATAAAAAGGAAAATGTAGAAAAATAATTACTGACCAATACCCATAAATGCAAGCATCTATAAAATACGTAAATAGAGATGTATAAATATGGACGAACAAGTATATAAATGTATGAGCAAAAATGTAAATTTATGAACGTGTAAATCATGTATACAAATATGTATATGGAAATATACACATAAATAAATAGATTAATATATCAAGCTGACTGCATGCTAACTTCATGGCCAAGAATGCCATCATACAGCATGTTTTTGTACAGAATTCAGTGCTTTACTGATCGTTTATTCTTCAACTTTATCTCTCATGATGTACGTCGCATATAATATGCAAATTATTTCAGTAAATATTCCAGTGTCAAGGTTAATTGATATAACCACAACCAAATTACCTCGGTAAAGTGAAAAAAAACCTCATTAAATTATTCGTACTCCAGTTTCAAATCCAAGAAAAAAACTGTAAATGTAGAAACCATCAACTAATGTACAGCATTACGCAAAGACATGCTAATGAGATATATGAAAAAAGACTGAAAGAATGTGTATGCAACAATATTATACTTTGCATGGACATTTTATTGCCACCACTGTGACGGCAGCCGATAAGTGGAACTCAAACCAAACCAAAAAGGGCGACAATCTATGAATTTATCAGATGCTACTTGAACGATCTTATAAAAACAGATAATCAGGAAGCATGAAAGTCTAGATGTGGAACAGACGTCACTATGATGGAATCAAAAATCAGGGTGAATCATATTATCGACGTCTATAAGCGATGTGCTTCTAATTCAGGAAATGTTAGTTTCGCACTTATGGATACGATGCAGCACTTGAAGAGCTGAGTTTCAAGGTCGAAAACCAACGACGAAAAATTCATTCCCTTTAGTTCATATTGCAGTAGAAAATGAGATGAATTTAATGATAATATGTGACATTTTGCAGTTCGGAACTAGGAAATTGGAGCACTCGTTATCAGAAATGAAGCACTTTTTAAAAAGTCGCAAATAACTTTCAATGTACAAAGCTGCTAACATGCACTGTTCCAATAACCATCAAAATGATTATATATATACCTATATACATAGGTATTACAAAAAACACAAATGTCTATGCATACCTCCTTATAAGGCGTTAGATCAAACTCCTCAAAAAAATGCTTTCTTCTATCGTTATGATTCAAACCGCACCATTTAGCTGCAAAAACTCAGTACTGCTCTTAAAATTCAATCAATGTGGAGAAGAATACGAACGGTCAATGTAAAATTCGTCCTCAAGACACCTAAATGAGTCACTTTGTATCACTTATCCGTTCAATTTGTGATTACGCTCAAAGTCACCATCTCATGCTGCTGTTTTTTTTCTTATTTTCACAATTCAGTTTTCCATTAGTATCATTATTTTTCTAATTATGAGTAGGCATTGTCTGTTGCTCGAAATGATAATCAGAATTGAAATAGAATTTTCAGTGTGCTCAATACCAATACTTTTTGCATTACTTTCGAAATCAGCACATCATACAGATTTCCGAGATATTTCAACCATGCATGGCTTTGCGAAGCAGTGAGATCGTTTTTTGTAACTTGGGTTTCTAATGATAATAGTAGGGCAGTGTCCGAGAACTTTCTGAATTCCACCTTCCCGTGACATAATGAAAACTATCGTATTTGAACACAAAGACGAGGAAATTTTTGCTATTCTGTGCAGAAATATTTTGGACACAAGACAGGATCACGAGGATTAGCGAACTTGACTTCATTAAATCTGAACTATTACAAAAACACTCTTAAATCATTCCTTTTAAGGGAATGTTAATTCACAACATCAATAAGCAGTCTATTTTTGTAAAAGCTGTGTATATTTTTCGAGATTTCATTACAAAAATTCATTTTTTCACAACTGTTTTCTCTAAAATGACTGTGATTAATAAAGATAATCTTCGAGAAGCTGCTAAAACTATTCTCTTCATAGACGAGAGATGGAATGAAGTTTGACTAGCAGTCACGTATAGGTATCATGTATTATACAGACAAGAGTATGGTACCTTTTTTCTTTCGTCTTTGTATTTTTCACTTACAGCTGACAAAATATGTTTTGAAGTTTGGTAGACTGTTACCATTGTTAGTCTCAACGACACTTAGAAAATGAATAAAAATGAAAGCCCAGATACAAGTAAAATACTCCTGCCACTATCAATAAAGCTCATAAAATAGATGCTTAAAAGAAAGACGATACAACTCCAAATTTCAAACAGCTTTATGTGATATAAGGGTGAATTGATTTACTGTAAACATTGAAGTGAAAGTTCAGGATATCTGGTGGTGGGTATTCGGTTATATATAACTAAATACTTAAGAGTAACATATGTTGCATACTTTCACCATTCAGTACTGGTCACTAGGTTCTTAGTTCAGTGATATATATATAT